TTGGATCTCACACAAGTTCAGAGCACTCAGGACAATCATCTCTGCCTGAGTTATCTAAACTGGCTGCCTGTACTATCCCATAAATCTACGGGGTGATCAAATTGCACAACCTTCCTCCTCTTTGTTTAGCTAGATAAACATCTCAGAAGAAATAATTCATTTTGCTAATTGAGAGTAGTCTTCTGAAATGTTCTAAGCCGCCAGCTGAGGCAGTGCAGCCTGGCGAAAGCTCCTGTCTGAAATCTGAGGATCTGAGTTTTCTCTGCCCTCATTTTGCAAGTTTATAGCAGTGACATGAATTAGTACTGTCTAAGGAAGCTCAAAAGAATAGCTTTCACGAAAGCTTCTTCTCTCGCACCATATTTGGGCTGCTCCATGGTTGTATCTTTCTGACACTGTATCACCAGTTCATCTTCCTTGTTCACAGCAACGCCCCTGCTGTGAATCTCTCTCCGTGCTTTCTGCAGCTGTTATCATTGCCTTCTTCATTTGCCTCTGATGCCCTCGGAGCACAGTAGCCACTTCTCCCTTCCTTTCCTACCCCATTTCCCCCACCCTGAAGTGACCTTGACCCCACAACTGGGGCCAGAGTCTGGGTCTCGTCATGGGGTCCATGTTTCAGCCACTGTAAGTTGTCATCGCTGTCAGAGTCTCCACCATGTTTGCCAGTTACATAAGAGGCCACATAATGTCTGCTCCCCAGCGCAAGCTTTTATTAAACAGAGACAGCCCGAGAGGCCAAGTGGGCAAGAGGTTCATCCCGGAACCTCGTCCCCTGGGAGGCTGAGTGGCTGTCCCCGGGTCTTGGCTCCTGGAGCCACTCAGCTCAGCTCTCTGCCTGTGTTTGCAGCCTTAAATACCCAAGGACGACATGTTATGTTTTCGGCCTGAAGGGGCAAAAGAGAAGCAGCCCTTTCAAAATAAGAATTTCCCTGCTGTTTGTTTCATTTTGGAACACAATAAAGACAGGCTGAGGACACGACTCTGAGCTGTCAACACTTCCGACCCGGCTTCCACAGCACCTTTCGCTTGCCAGAAAAAAAAAAAGCTACTTAAGTGAAACAAGGGCCTAATGAATAGTCAAAATAATTGTTTAGCTTGGATATAAGGCCTTAGGTAAATAGATGATTGCCGGAGACCAGAGGCCAGAAAAAGCAGTGCAGCAGGACGCTACTTGTTCTCTTTTTCGGACATCAGCCCAGTGGCCTCTGCTCCTGCAGGGGCGGTTGTTACTGAATTATTTCTCTCTTCCCACGAGCATATTGAAGCAATTTAGTATCAGAAGGGGCTAATAAAAGCAGGGAGAATGAGGAGAGCTTTCTATATTGGAACTATATCCTCAAAACATAAATTTTACCTCAGCAGTCTCAAATAAACCGAATGCTCAGGAGATGGACTGCTTAGTTTGTTTGTATTTACCTTTCCGTGTTGAAAATGTCCAAAATGCTTTGTTAGCCCACTTACAATTGTCCTGCCTCCTGCCTTACCAGTAGTTTTAACATGATTTCAGCCTTTTTAAGCACTATTATTTACTACCCCTAAAAACTATCATTAGGTTTATGAATAATCCACTTCCAAGACTGTAATTGTAGTTATAGACAGAAGGAGCATTGAGAAGGAACCTTTCAGGTATGGGTTTGGTAGTTTGTTGTTGTCGCTGTTGATTTGTTTTTTTCTGTTTGTTTATTTAAGTTGTCTTTGCTATCAACTTACTTCACATTTCTTTTTCCCAAAAATGGCCTTACATCATGAAAACTCTATTTAATTAAGAGCTTGATTAAATTAGTTGCTAGGTAATTTCAGTTCTCCTGAATAATATTTTTAATAATTGCTTTCCATCTCTTACTTGAAAATAATAGATGCCTTGTTGATCCAGAACAGGATTTGGTTGTCTTACTCGTTCAGCTCATTTCCGCTGGACTGCTGTTCAAATAAACAACATCTATCTGATTGAATCTCAAATTCATCAAGGGGGGTGGATTCCCCTGGTATTCAAGTTCCTGGAATCATGATGAATATATATTTGGTTTATTGGCAAATAGCAATCAAAGCATACGTTGGGCAATAAAAAATGAATGCTTAACTGTTTATATGATTTTGTATCCCGATGATATAGGAAAAGGGTGAAGAGCCAATTTTGGATTTGAGCACAAACTCCACACTTACTAACACTGTGAGCTTTGAAAAATTATCAAATTTCCACTGGCTTCAGTTTCCTCATCTGTAAAATGGTCTAATAATAACACCTATTTCGCTGGGTTGTTGGTAGATGATATTCAGTAATGCATGATGTAAGGATTCAATAAGTGTTGACCATCATGTTATTTTCACGCACCTTATAATTTCCTCACAACAACCCTGTCAGGGAGGCAAAGCTGCTGTAATTATGCCAATTAATTTAAATATTAGAAAACTGGACATCAAAGTGGTTATTGAGTTGCCCGCAGTCACCCAAGATGGTGAAATATTGATCCTCTCAGTAACAGGAGTCTCTGAATTATTCACATATTGCCTTCCCTTTACCCATCCTGCCATGTGATGTTTAGGAAACATCTCTTCCATGTTCCTGTCTTTACATGACAATGGGCATCCTCTGCCTTAGACTGTCAGATGGAAAAACCTGTAAATTTTGGCAGAGGCTTTAAAACCTCTATTGATAGTATACAGAAGTTTTCTGGGAAAATGGTACCCTCCGAACTTCAAAGTCAGGAAGAATGCTTTGCTAATACTGAGAAAAACAAGTACTAGTGGACAACTGATTTCCAACTGGTGAGCCTGAAACCCCTCAGAAAAGCCCTCAGAGATGACACAATGGGTCAACAAACCTAAAGCTTAGCTGTCTTCATAGATCAAATGGATACAGACTTATCTGTGCATAAGATACACCTATCTATCATTTAGAAAATGTCAATCATTTAGGCAGTGCTGAATTTATTATATCATTCTGACATGCTGTACTTTCCCAATGGCTGCTAAATTTCACCTATCGTGAGGGTCTGTGATTTTTTAAAAAACCATGTGTACATACTCCTTAGGTTTAGAAACCAATGGTATTGAGGAGACAGCTCTGCCTTTGAAGCCTAGATTTAAGGACCAGCCCTGCTAGTTATAAGTTAAACCACCATGAACTCAATCAATCAAAATCAGTAGATATCTACTGAATATCTGTAAAGGGCCTGAGCCTTGGGCTAGAGCTGAGTAGGTGAACAGCAGTCCTGAGCTTTCGTCCTGAACCTCCATTTTCTCACCTATAAAGTAAGGAGATAATAGTGGCTCTCCTCACAAGACTATTGTGAGGATCCAATGAGATAAACAAGAAAATAAATACACTGTGATGTTTGTGAAAGTGCTTTGTAAACTCTTTGGAGTGTTATAAACATGGAGTGCTCAAGACAAGCTGCTGAAGACAGGAAAACCCTTCAACTCTCCCCAGTGGCTTTCCTATAACTGCTGGCCGTCTACCCCATGAACTTGCCAAATGCTAACAGCATTCCTTTCTTTGATCTCAGATGATACCCATATTTATAAAAATACTTTTCCATCTCTTTCTTCCTCCTCCCACTTCGTTTGATTCCATAAATTGTAACATCCCTTAATATCAATATGGCACTATAATATCAGATTATACAAAGCATTAAATAAGGCACCAATATAAAATTCAAAGCACAGAATAACCCAGGGGCTCACAGCTTGCAGTTTGTAAGCCCAAATATGCACAACGCCCATCTGTAAGGGATAGTTTAAACATTGCCAATGGCACTGGTTACAGCTAAAGGGGATCTTGCCCAAGCCCTGGTTAACTCCAGGGGGTAGGAATGAAGGAGAGAAGACTGTCCTTTTTCTCTAGTCATAGGCTAAGGCCCCACTGCCACCTCATGTCTGGGAAAGAGTGGTTTATGGGAGTGGACCCCTTACTTGTGGAATTGAAACCTTCCCTGATTCGGTTCTTCCAGAAATACAGAATATCTCATGTATTTTTATTTCTCCTCTAATTTCATATTTCCTGTGCTATTGGTACATTTTGTCTTTATATTTATTCTTGTCAACAGAGGACATTCACTTAGAGTCTGCTAAGTGCCATACAATACACAAAGCACTACGGAAAAATGCAAAACACATAAAACACATAATTAATATGCATGATTCTTGCTTTGTAGGAGTTTGGAATAAAAGTAAACCCAGCATTTATTGCAAGACAGCAAGTGTTATTTTAGATTCTCCAACCAATGACAGTTTGAACCACTGAGGCTTAGAGAAATAGATTTCCCAAGATCATACAGGTAGCAAGTGCCTGAGCCGAGATTGTCCAAGGTCTCTTTCATGTTAAAGTACATGATCTTTCCATTCTATGTCAATCCCTCCCTTGATCAGGAAGGCAGAACACACGTCAAAAAGAAGAGTGAATGCAGACATTAAAGAAAACCTGCAAATGAATAAGCACTACAAGCCCCACAGACTATTTTGTATACGGGGGTGGAGAAGTGTCTAAAAGTACGTGGAGCTGGGCTGGCCTTCACTGAGCACATTCTACAGCAGGTCAGTGATAGTCTGGGGAATAGAGCAGTGGACACTAGTCAGAGAACAACTGTGCTGGAACCAAGAGAATTAACACTGGGCAATTAAACATTCTAATGAGAATAAAAGTTATAATCCGAGAACATCATTTGTTCTCCCAGATTCAGATCCTTCCTCTTTGTGGCCCTCAGACTATGGGAATTTTGTAAGTTACTAAAATTTTCACAGCTCCATCTTCCAGGCAAATCTAAAAAAGAGCAGAGTGCTGCTTCATGTATTAGAGTACTGCCAAGTTCATTACACTTAGCATTCTCTAAATATCCCCTCTCATACAGCTCTCCCTTAAGCAAGGTGAGTTGAAATCATTTTCCTCCTGTCATTTGGTGTTGGTTGCAGTGACATAAGAGAGTAAGAGGATTTACAGAGGAAAAGTGAGTATACTTGGCAACGTTTTCAAGCATTTGTTTGGATTTTCTGTTTTTTAGGAGATGTACGACTAAGGGGTCAGACGGGGGTTCCTGCTGAACGCCGTGGCTCCTACCCATTCATTGACTTCCGCCTACTTAACAGTGAGTAATCAAGTGTACCTGGAAAAGAACAAATGTTTTCTTTAAAAAAAAAAATTTCACTTCCCTCTGAACTTCAAAACCCTTGGAGGTCTGCCTTCCTTCCTCCATGTCTCCCCTCCCAAATGGAACTTAACCCCTTGTCTTTAGATTTCCTTCCTAGTGAAGTGATTCTGGCACTGACCTACCTCCCAGAGCTTTAGTGAGAATCAAATGAGATCATTTCAGCTTTCAAAATGTCTTAAAAATCATGAAGCCCTATGCAGGGAAACTTACTCCTTTCATCATGCAGCACATTCTTTCCACCTTCATCCAGAACTAGACCAGATGAGATTCTATTTTGCTGTTAAAACCCCACAGGGAAACCTACTCACATATGGCCCTTAGTAACTATCCACTGTCTAATTCTCCCTTCTTTGTCTCATCGAAGTCCCTGAAATCTGTTCTTGCATTCCTGGGAAAGCTCTCCATCATGGCTGAGCCCTTGTAGTCTGCACTTGCTGCTTCCTCCATTAGGACTACCTTGGAAAGTCATTTCTTTCTACCTTTCCCCTTCATATATTACTCCTTATTTGGAGTGTTGCTCAACCTCTCCATAATTCTGTTAATTTCAAATTCCCTTGGAAACCAGTGACCAGTCACCCTGCCTGATAGCATGTCTTCTATCGCAATCATGCTGCACTTTGGACTCGGGGGGTGGGGACGGTACGGGGAGAAACTGGATAAATTTCACAGTTTGCTTCAAGGTTTTCAGTGTTTGGTTCTCATACCACTTCCCATCGATAAATTTCAAAGTGCTGGGTTGCACCCACAGAGTATTAGTTTCCTTTGGCATAAACAAGTTCAGTGAAAAGGTAATTTGATTTACCTCGACCCCTAAAAATTACTAGGAGAAGTCAAAACTTGCTATCCTTGGATCCTCAAAAGGTCAATAGGGAATAGAGATGCTTGTATTTCTCCTAGCTTATTAAACTTCCATAGCAATGTGCAAGATCCATTTTCTCAGCTTTTTCTGGGACACAGAGACTTGGAGTAACCGTTCCATATGAGATGACCTCCCAACCCAGGCCCCCAAAAAACTCATTTTAGAAGACACAGTTGATTTGCTAACCCAATGCAATATTGGATACAGATTATGGGGAGCTCGGATGGTGTCTCAGCTTTCCTCATGACCCTGAATAGGCTGGTCCAACTACTCATGGAAGTTACCCCTTTTGACAGTCACTAGACTATACTGGTTTCCAGTTTCCAGGCATATGGTTCCACCAAGTAAGATGGGAATGAATAGAGGGTCCAGTTAATTCACTGTCTCAAAGAGATCAGGACTGTCTAATGGCTTCACATACTAAGTGTGAGGTGGAGAAAATAATCAAAACAGTCTCTTTCAATATTAGATGAGATGTTATATCATGTTTTCTAATATAAGGCATGAACAAATTAGGAAACATAGGAGATACTTGTCTTTATAATAATTCCAAGGTTCCAAATGATATCATCTGTTTCTAAATTATCCCAGTGTTAGTAAGCAACATCAGCTAAGAGCAGTTTTCTTTGCAAGTGGGATTAAGGAATAATTTTCCTATATACATCATAGGTCTTTGTAACACTTGGATTTGGGTTTTTTTTATAATTTGTTTTATTTTTAGAACATTAAAAAAACTGAAAAAAATGTATAAAACCAATGCAGGTAATATTTCACTACACTATTATTCACCATATAACAAATCACATAAAAGTAGGTGCCATTCTGTCATCCCTCTCCTGAAGGTCCTCTGGAAACTTCCTAGTGCCTGGACTCACCCCCAGCCTCCTTCCCCTGGCCTGGGATGCTCTCTGCCCCTCCACCCCCATTTCACTCTATCTGTTGCTCTAGACCTTCCACACATTAAGTAACAGTGTTGGCCATCCGTTCTGAAATTCCCCTTCTCCTCTGCTCAGCACAGCACTGTGGATAACTCCTTCACTCACATCTCTTTAGCAGTAAAACATGCTAAAAAACGCTACCAACTTGTCTTCATTGTATTTTGCTTTCCAATGGACTTACTTTTCCCCCCTGTATGTATAGAACACATCCCTAAACAGACTACAAGATCCTGAAGATCTGTCCAACTAGATCGAAGGATCCCCTCAAAAAGACTATATTAAATAATTATAAATGTCAACCATCCCCTATATTTTGCTCAGCAGTTCATTCAGATTGGACTGAAGCCCTCTAAGATTCTTCCTTATTTGTGGTACTGTCTATTCCATTGTCAAATGCTGGGATACCTAGTTAGTGAGTTGAAAATACAATCGATAACATTACTGTAGTCATTCTCCACAATTTCCTAGGTTAGTAGGCAGTTAAAGCAACTTGTCACTAGGTAGAACCAGGTGTGTTCTTTCTGTGTTACGTACAGTCACTTAAGATGTAATGTATTTGTCACATCTCCTACTACTTTATATAGAGCCTATTTAATTCTCTTTAAGGTCATTCATGTTCTCATTGGGGTTTGCCTGCCTGATTTGTTAGTGTGTGCTTTCTGCCTAGAGGGAAACATTTGAAACATACCTCTTTAAAAATTTAAAAATAAGCCCTAAAGATACATTTTTGTGACCTTTTCCTAAAACTCTTAATTTTACCAATTATTTCCAGTTCTACACAGTACATACCAAACTAGTATAAAGTGATTGTTTTTGTATCATTTACCTTAATTTTGAGTCATTCTTTCCAAGTACAGACAGACACCAAAGACTATTTTCCTCAGGTGCTTGCAGTTTTGTTCTGTCTCCCAAGGTAGAACCTAATCTTGGAATTTTTTTTTAGTTTTTTTTCATTTATTTAAACAGATATTTATTAAACTACTGGGATGTGATTGGAGCTGTGTTAAGCATTACAGATACAATGATCATTACACATTTGGGGTTCTAGCCATTTTAAGGCTTTAAACTAATGATTTTTAAATCAGAGTTAATACCTACTCTTCTCAAGCTATTCCAAAAAATAGAAATCGAAGGAAATCTTGGAATATTTTTAAAAACACCATTTATAGGGAAGACCAAATCACCATAGCCTCTATCCTTGGTGTTTACATCCTGCAACCTTCCTTCTAAAATGCTTAGTGAAACCCACGTGGCTACCACTCCGTGTCCATAGTGTCCCTGGAGCTTTTCCTTCTACCACTTCCTTCAACATATGTCTTGAATGTCTGGAACATGCATAACAAAAATGTACATTACTTAGTAAGGCCCACTGCACTTCTCCATTGGCCCCAAAAGGCAAAACCTAACCTGTTATAGCAGAACAGAAAATGTCAGAATTAATATCTAAAATAACTTCCCTGGGGGTGCCTGGCTGGCTCAGTTGGTTAAGTGTCCACTCTTGATTTTGGCTCAGGTCATGATCTCATGGGATTGAGCCCAGTTCATGGTGAAGCCCAGTGGGGGTCTCTGGGCTGACAGCACAGCGCCTGCTTGGGATTCTCTCTCTCCCTCCCTCTGTCCCTTCCCAGCTCAAGTGTGCTCTCCCTTTCTCTCTCTCAAAATAAATAAATAAACTTAAAAAAATAAAATAACATAACATAAATAAAATAACTTTCCTTGTATCAGAATAAAGTTTATAGACATCAAAACAGTTAACAAGAATGAGACTGGGCCAATAGCAATCAATGAAGTAAACCTGCACTCCCATCCATGCCCATATTTTTTGAAGACATGGTACTACCACACCTACGTACTTGTCTACATTCTGCATATAAGATGACAATATATACCTAGTTTGCCTCAAATTTGTACCTGTTTTCCAGACATACTTACTAATAATGCCATTTTCCATTCCCTACGTATTCTGGCTGAGACAATAAATTACAAAATCAATGGATTTTATAGTTTTTCCTGCAAAAAAAAAGTTACTTCAAGACAATACCTCTTAAATGTCACTTTCAATCCAGGAACAAAGATCAGGAAATCCTCCTCATGACAGACACATCCAGATCCATGCATGTCTTGATTGAGAATATGTAAGATAAAGTTACTTGTTGACAGACAATGTTATTTACTATTTATATTTTATACAGTTTAGAAAACAGACATTTATATGAGCTTTGAGAAGCTTCTCTGGTCAAGTCGCAGAAAAATGTGGCTTCAGCACCATTGTAGGACACTGGAATCATAAATCTTTAAAGAAGAGGATTATCTTTACCTCTAAGCATGGTGGGGCAGAACAGAGTGAGAGGAAAGATTGACCATTATTTTTATTCTCCCTGCGATACTAAAGCAGAGACTCAAAAGAGGCCCAGAAGAATGGCAAGGCAATGGCTCGATTATCCCAATGCCAATTTCCTATAGATTTATGTCATTTACTAACTCTGTTTGGAGGGAAACAAGAGAAGAGAAAACCGAGGAGTGCTCAGAGAAACGTGCGGCTGCAGAGGCCAATGTTGCAGAAGCAATCACAATTTTCTGCAGAACAGGTGGTTACAGTTCCCCTTGTACATCTCTGTCTCCTGGTTTAATATAATCAGTAGGCTGAGTAGATAATGACTAGGTGGGGATGTTCCCATGGCAACCATTTCAGAGCAACACAATGTGATTTCCACACTAGCTGAGCAAAGGAAGTGACATACAAAGCAAACATTCCCAGTGACTGTGGAGCTTGAAGGAACGAGGCAGCTTGAGCTGCAAGTTTCAGGGCAGCAAATTTCAGCTGCCACAGAGAGCCTGGAGCTCCAGACCAGCCACGGGACTTTGCAGTAGTAGGTTAATTGGCTATTTGGCTTTTCCTGTTGGTTAATTTGCTAATCTTGATCTTTAAAGTTCTATTCCTCCAGATCTGCCTCTCCAGGCAGGGCCATTATCACTACACAAGCATGAGGTAATTTTAGTAGAACTACAAAAAGGGTTTCCTTTACTTTTGAAATTGAACTAATAAATACTATATATTTATAATATATAAATACATAATATACATAATATATATATAAATATATATATATCTTTTTATGGAGAAGTGACCCAGAGACTCA